TTTAATTATTAAAATATTTTTAATTGTTTCATTTTTTAATTTGTTTAATTTTTTTTGTTAATTTAGGTAGTCAGATTTTTGTCTTTTAGAAAACAAATATTGTAAAGAAGTAACATAAATAATCAAATTGTCTACTCAATACAAAAGATTGAATACTCAATACTCAATAAAAAAAATATTTTGTCGAATTTTATGAATATCGGTATTCACAGAGCCGCTATGGTTTATGTTATGGTAGATTATATCTCGCACGGTAGCAAATTTTTGAATAAAAATATTTTGAGCTATTAGGACGGTAGCAGGTTTTTGAATAAAAATATTTTGAGCTATTAGGAACATTTGAATACATTTTCATCAATAGCACTCCTCTCTTTAGTACTTTGAAACAATAATTTTTCATTATCTCTGAAACTGGAGGAGCTTCATCAAACCTTTTTCTCAGAGATCTCCTTAACTTTCTCATGCTCTTTTATACTATAAAAATGTTAACTGAGGCCGGAAACATTTAACAAGTATGACTAGTACATAAATACTATTTTATAGTGCAAAACAGCATGAAAAAGTTAGGAGATCCCTGAAAAACATTTTTATTCAAACCTGTTACCGTCTGAGTTACCGATATTCATAAAATTCAACAAAATATTTATTTTTGAGTTTTTCATATTAAACAGACAATTTGATTATTTATGTCACTCATTTACAATATTTGTTTTCTGAAAGACAAAAATTTCTGACTACCAAAATTTACAGAAAAATATAGTTCAAATCATACTAGAAGAAACATATTGTACAACGTTAAACAAGTAAAAATCTTATTTAGAGGATCTTATTTCGAGAATCAAAACAATCTAAGTAGAAATACCCGAATAAAATTCAAGTTTTACCTTGTTTCACAAAGGCCAAAATTTTAGGCTTCTTTATTAGTTATGTTTGACTTAGCAGTTTAAGGGGGAAACCTCCTTTATCGGGTCAAAAAAATCGATATTTTGGAAATAGTCTTAATCGATTGTTAAACTATTCAAGAATATTCCCTGAAAATTTCAAGTCGATATCTGCAGTATTTACGAAGTTAAAGCGGACGGGTCGGGTGACGAGTCCTCTTCACCCAAATGTTGAGAAACATTTGCAACCGATCTTCGACGATCTTTCGAATGATAGTCTTTTGGAAAGGTGTTTAGGCGGTTACACACAGAATGCAAATGAAAGTTTCAATTCTACCGTTTGGCGTTTATCGCCTAAACACATTCACAGTGGAGCAAAAATCGTCTGCATTGCTGCGTATATTGCTGCATCGATATTTAACGAAGGCTACAATGCAGTGTTAATGATAATGAATAAATTGGATATCGAAATTGGGATCCAGGCATACAATTTTGCCATAACGAAGGACGAGAAGCGAATAAACAGACAGAACCGCCAAAGCTATAGCAGCTCAAAAGAGGCAAGAACGGCTCGTAGGATGGAGATAATGGCTCAAAACAAGTTCTACGAGGAAGTGGAGGGGCTACTTTATGCAGCTGGAATCGCTGATTAGCGTGAGACTGCCGTAAGTTGTGAATATGTAGTATTTTTATGCATCTAAAACTTTAAACGCGTTTTTCTCGAAACACGTTTTTTCGATTTTGTGTACACGATTAAGAGAAATCTACTGAACTGATTTGGCTTTATGACCTCTCATTTTAAAGATAATTAAATTCTCTTCGATGTGACATTGTTTTTTAAAAAAAAAAATTTTTTTCATATTTTTTTCGTATTTTAAAGTCGATTTTTTTAACGAAAAACGCACTTTCAATTTTAAACTGTGTAAAAACATGCAATTTCGACTTTTTCTTTAAAAAATCGAAATGTCACATAGAAGCTAGTATCATAAACATGACAAAAAATTTTGGTTTTTTTGTTTCAGATCAAAATTAAGGACGCTACAGTGTACACAGCGGAGACACTCCATAAGCGAAGCGATATTAATATGGCGTCCGTTTTTATAGTAAACATCTTTTTTTTTTTTTTAAAAACCTGTGTACTCTTTGATTGTGTATTAAATTGTCATAAAAATTTCAAAACGTTTCAAGTTATTATACCCGAGAAAAAAATTCGTGAAAATCATGTAATGTTTTCGACCGTGTAAAGGAGGTTTCCCCCTTAATTGTTTTTTTGTTTTTTTTAAAGATGATTAGATATTGGAGAACTTACTCGCTATTGACGGTGGTAGTAGCATAGACGCGGGAAATATAGGAGAAATTTAAACTGTCACTATTTGCTCCCTGTCACTATTTGCCCCCCTCTTACTTATATTAAAAATAAGATAAATGTTTACATTAGAAACGACCTTATCGATTCCAATGATCTTGATATATGTTGTCGGAGACATAAGTCTCACTAACTTACAAAAAATTTAATAAAAAAATTCGTGTAGATACATGTTATTTTGACAAGAGTAACAAATAAAACTGCTGTAGGCGAAAGCTTTTAGATACTATAAAATAGATAAATATTAACAAATTCTGTAAATATATAATTTTTGCACACGGTATATACATAGAAATATAGCAAACACTATACCTATATGCACGAAGGAGGGGCTCCGTCCCCCTTTCCCAAGAAAACTAACTCTAACCTAATCAATCAAATTGAAATATGATAAACCGTACACGTATATGCGCAATCCATCTACATTTTTATACATAATTTGTCAATAAAAAAAATATAAAGATAAAAATGCAGGTATTGTTTACGATATTTCAATGTACACTATGTACAAAAAATATCGCAAACAGTACCTGCATTTCTATTCTTCTAGTTTTCTATTAATAATTTTTTTGATAATTATGTATAAAAAGGATGGATTGCTGTGGTTTACTATATTTCTATAAATCGGTTAGGTTAGGATTAATTTTTTGGAGAGAAAGTGCGGGGAGGAGGGACAAAGCCTCTCCCCCGCGCAAATGTACTATTTTATATGCATACATTTATAAATAACATTTATAAATGCATTTTTTATAAATAACTTTCTTTTCAGCTAAATATTTAATGATTTCATCGTAATTGTGTGTTAAATGTAGAAATTCGTGATACAATATATTGTACGAAAATAAGGAATAAGGAAAAACTGTTTATATATGTCTACGATTGTATCTACATAGTCAGAGCGCTCGCTTGTAACTAAGAACTGAAAATATTATACTTAGTGTTCACATATTACAGCTCTACCTAAATAATGTAGCATTCTACCTAAAGTTTGTAGCATTTATGTGACTTCTTTTGATAATAAACTTTTAACTAACTTCTTAATAAACAATGAGCGATTGCTAAAACCTACAATATGTTACTCAGTAAGATGTCTTCAATAACATATGTCAAGGTTAAGGTGATTGGAGCTGACTCGCCTAAACTAAATAATTATTTTATTTTAAAAAATATACTTTTTAAAAAGAGACTAACATTCAACATTTTTAACTTTTCAAAAATTAGTATTTTTGATAGAGGTTCGATAGAAATAAAAAGAAATAACTTCAAACTTTGAAGTGTCGCCATGTTATTAAAGAATAATTTTTTTTTAATTTTTAAAGATTAGCCTCTTAAGAAACTTCGTGCTTTTTAATAATCAAATTCATTTGTTTCATTTTATTTGTTTCAGACTAATAGTTTAGGAGTTAGACGTCTCATCGTTTTGTGAGACATCCATTTTAAGAAGTCATCAGTGCAATCTTTTATTAAATTTAAAAAAAAAGAATGCAAAAATTTGTATAATCTAAGACATTATGAGTATAATCTAAGACATTACTAATAAAATGCTGAAACCCTCATTAAATGTCTTTCTCTTAAAAAAATTCCTAAATAATTAATTTTTTCTGGATTTTAAATCGAAACCTTTTCTTAAGAATCCTAATTCCTTTTTGCGGAATTGATTGATGATGCTAGATACGAGAAAATACACGCTCAAAATTGTTAAAAAATATAAAGATACAACTATAAAATGACACTTATAATCGACCGGACATATTTGTGAAAAAATAGTCTGAATACTTTCCTTTTGCTTTAATAATCAATACATCATCGTACAAATAATGGCACGCAACATACTTTTTTAACATATGCTTTCTCATAATTCCATCACGTTAATTGTACGATAATTTATTGTTTATTAGAACAAAAGGAAAGTGTTCGGACTATTTTACAGATCTGCTTGATTGATTGCAAAATATGTTATAAATGTATTATTTTATTTCAACGTATTTTGCAAGAATTTGTAACGTGTATTTTCTCGTTTCTGGTGTCATTAAGGTGACCAAAGCAAGAAAACAGGAACCTTAACAGCCGAGTAACAAATTCAGATTATAAAATATTTCAAAAACTATGAAATTTAATTAAGTTTAATTCAGTGATCATTTTGATACTACATTTATATGAGCACACACACACAAATTAATTTTTCCATTATATTTTATTCTTAAACAAATACGTTATAACATTATAATGTTTGCCAAACTATTGAATATTTCTTACTTTTATTTTCTACATTTTAGAACAATTAAATAGCAATTAATAATAGCAATTAATAATTTCTAACATAGTCTTTTTTATTAGAATGCTATATATGCTCTACTTTTAGTGGTAGGAATATTAACATAATGATAAATCAATATATGCAAGTTTAAAATTAATTTACAACAAATATGTAGGAATAAATAATAAATTCAAAATTACAACAATTAATAAGCACTTAATTATACGATAGATCCGATTTCGATTTTTCGATCGAATCTGGTGAGACTGTTGAATTAATGAAATTTCTTATTTCAGTAATTAGAATAGAACTTTCTTTGCATACACGAATATTTGTGTATGTATATGCGCACGCACATAAGCACGCACAACAGTTCCTAGATTGTCTATTCCTAGCTATATGTTGTTTGCCCTATTTTTAGAAAATTGTAAGATACAGTGATGACTTGTCTAGCAAGACTTTTAATAAAACTGCGAAACCGTTAAACCACATATACCTTCTCCACGGAAGGCCAGTCACACTGAGAATTACTCGAGAAGCAGAGCAATTCTTGATAAACCTTAGACTCATCTATATCCACAGCCTTAGTTTTTATGGTAAACATCACCAATGTAGTTGTAGCACTAAATCAATTAATCAAAATTATTACAAAGTTTCTCTAATTTATCGTTTATTCTTTTATAGAGACTAAGCAATACAATTATTTTTCTAACTTTTACTTGATGGTGAATTAAAGAATAGATTTAAATAAAAGAATAGAGTTAATATTTATGAATAAGCTATATATTTATATAAACCAATAAAATATACAGGGTAGTAAAAAGTCCCGAACCAGTGAAATATTCAAAAACTAAGCATTTCCGAAAGAAATATTTCCTACAAAAGTTGTAAGGTTTTAAATGATCTATTCACTGATCTGGTCTGACCTTGGGTGGCGTCGCCAAGATCAGGTCAAGATCAACTTTACTTTTTTAAATAGAAACATTTATTTATTTTTTTTACGGAATTTTATTCTACGTGAAGAAACAAATAACTTTAGTTTAAAAAATTTTTTCATATGACCCCTATTTTTTAAGATATTTGCGGAAATATCTACAAAATTATTGGTTTCAATAATTTCTTACTCGAATTCTATCAGCTTTACCGAAAAATGGCAAGAGATAAAAATTGCTTATTTTTGTCTCATAAAGCTTTGAGACTTTTTTCAGAATATTTTATTAACTTTTTAATACTTCAAGAAAATGCAAGAAAATGCAGTTAAAAAGTGCATACTAAATGCATACTTATGCATACTAAAAAGTTAATAAAAAATTCTGAAAAAATTCTTAGAACTCTATGAGACAAAAATAAGCAATTTTTATTTCTTGCCATTTTCCGGTAAAGTAAATAAAATTGATAGAATTCGAGTAAGAAATTATTGAAACCAATAATTTTGTAGATATTTCCGCAAACATCTTAAAAAAGGGGTTGTATGAAAAAATTTTTTAAACAAAAATTGTTTGTTTCTTCACGTAGAATAAAATTCCGTAATAAAAAAAATATGTTTCTATTTAAAAAAGTAAAGTTGACCTTGACCTGACCTTGGCGACGCCACCCAAGGTCAGACTACCAGATCAGTGAATAAATTAAAACTCCTACAACTTTTGTAGGAAACATTTCTTTCGGAAATGCTTAGTTTTCGAGATATTTCACCGGTCCGGCACTTTTTACTCACTCTGTATATTATTAACATGTTTTTCTTCTTTTATACTTATAACCTGGAATTTCTATTCTTTTGGTCAGTCTTATTCAAATGTAAATATTATTTATAACTTAATGTTCTTTTAATAAATCCTATCGAAAACATTAACATTGCATTATGAAATTGTTTTGCAAAATAACATTGCATTAACAATGATAGTAAATTTAAATTGCTTTATAACATCTTTAAATGTAATTTATAAATACTTTCTTCACTAATGACTTCTACATGCAATGCAATATGCCCATCAGCCTCCAAAGTGTTTACAGTTTTTTGAATAGTCTTAATATTTTGATCACGGCGATATATTTTAGCACGTTTTATTTTATCGAGCTAAAGCTCAACATATTTCTCCATTAACATGTTGATAATAAATCCTTACCCTGCACCAGCGCTTTGCAAGTCTTTATATATATCCTCCTGTGACCGTCCATGACCAACTGAAAATCCACTGCAATGAGGAAGAGTAATTTCATTATTTTTTTGTTTATTTCGTAATTATTGGCAATTTATTAGTGATAATATAGTTTTCAATTATATAAAAGTTACTTACGATATACCCTTTTGCCTAAGTCGTGGACAATTAGATAATGCAGATAATGTACAAAGGACACGATGAAAATTGGATAAATCAAACAGCATAGATGGTTCAAAGAGGTCTGATTCCAAAAGGCCAAAAATGTTTGAGCATGCTGATAAGAACACCTTTATATTGCGCAGACACAAGAACTGTGCCATTTGTGGCTTCTGGTTTACATCCTTCATATCTATACACCCTGGGTCCATAGTATTCAGTAGATTGCAAAGCAACACACCATCCCGCAATGTATAGGCCAAATCAAATGCAGTTGCTTGTGGCCAGTTGGCTTTGTGATCTGCTCGTAATGCTCCGCATCTTGTCAACCAGTTAGCACATTCATGCCAACCTTTACCAGTATCTGTACTTTCTGCCCTATTCATTCTTATAGTCTCCATATATCATTTAATGACTATAATAATAAACATTCTTTTCATCTGTGACAGATACATATTGTACACAAGGTCTTAAAAAGATGTTCATCATGTTGCCACCTATTAAATATAAAAATATAGTAGATAAATACAAATAGTATACTAAATGTTATAAAAAATATTTAAAATTTTATATATCAATTTAATAATAATATTTAATAATATCAATAATTAATTTTATTAATTATTTAAGATGTGAATTTTTAATTACATCATGAATTTTTGCTCATGTGACTTAGTCAATTTTCCGTTTAAGTTACTGTGTCGGATGATAATCTTTTTCTATATGAATTAACGTGTTTCCAGCCTGTCTCCTGATTTATCTTGGCTATTTGACACACTTTCAATTTAAAGTATATTTAACCGGACAGCTGTCATCGATAACTGTGATCTGTTCTTTTTAGCTAACTGCTGCACTGGTGCAATAAGTTAAAATGAGATAAGTATATTTTTCTCACTCTAACTTTTTGCATCAGTTTAGCAGTGCAGTTGAAAAGAACCAATTGAGTTCTGGTTTAGATGCTGTAGAGAAAGTAGTTTGTTCTTTTCAGCTGTGCTGCTACTCTAGTGTAATAGGTTAGAATGAGAAAAATGTACTTATCTCATTTTAACTAGAGTTACTTTAATCAAAGTTTGGCCACGACTACGGTTTCGTCAAAATCCTGCGAGAGAGAGAGAAACATTTTCAATCTCTCTATTTGTTTACCTGCGAGAGAGAAAGACATTTTCAATCTCTCTGTCTATGGTCGGTATTCATAGTAGAATCTTATTTCAAAACTGTCTTAAGGCCGATTTATGATGGCCGTTACTGTTTACTTATGCTGTAGTCCAGAAATGGACCAATCGCAGTTGACTATTCTTGTAATAATCGACTACAATTGGTCAACTTCTTATAAATTACAGCATAAGTTAACGGTTAGGGCAATCATAAATCGGCCTTTAAAGGATTTTGCACGTAGAAAAATTTTAATCGTAACCGTAAGGTCGTAAGAAAATTGACCAATCAGAGTTAATTCTCCTTGCGTTCGAAAAATAATCGACTGTGATTGGTCAGTTTTCTTACGACCTTAAGCCCATTCTACAATTGCGTAAGCGTAGTCGTGATCGTAAGAGTCAACCAATCCGAATGTTTTATTTACTGATTGCTTTATTGTGATTGGTTGGCGTAATCACATACAACCACTCACAACCACGTTCACGCAATTGTAGAATGGGCTTTAAGTAATGTCTTAAGATGCGAATACGGCTCTATGATTGGTTCATGATATGTTAAGACAGTATTTAAGATGTCATGAATCAATAACAGAGCCGTATTCGCATCTTAAGACATTACTTAAGACGGTGTTGAAATAAGATTCAATTATGACCGATATTCATAGTCAGATCTTATATTTAAGACCGTCTTAAGTTCACCTTCAGATACTCCATAGCCAATGAAATGATCCGTAGAACATCTGAAGCTGAACTTCAGACGATCTTAAATATAAGAACCAACTATGAATATCAGCCTATAAATACCGGCCTATTTCTCCTTAACCTAATATAACCTACTACGATAGAAGTACTATGATTGGATATTGTGTGGATTTGATGAAACATAGCAGACCAATCAAAAGTTGCTTCGTCGTGACCAATTTCTAATAGACTTGATTTATATTAGAGATGCCCGATTCTGAATCAATTCGATTCTTTCCCCAAAAATAGGCTTATTCGTGTTGTTTGCACTCTTCGCACTTTTCGTTTTTAAAACTAAACAGAAGTATATTGAAATGTTTGGAAAAAGCAAAAGCGAGATAACCAACTCGAGTGTTTCTTCCAAGCGTCTGATTAGGCGTCTATCTCTTTTTAAAAGCGAAAAGTATGAAACATGCAAGCAGCACGAACAACCCTTTTTCCCTAAATTTGTTAGGGAAAAAATCGAATCGATTACACAGGACGCTTCTGCACACAGGACGCGGTAATACTTGTCGCGCGGCAGAAGTTCGCGCGACAACCAATCAATATGCTGCTTTCCGTAATAACCTTCTAGCTCTTACGGAAAAACAACATATTGATTAGCTGTCGCACAAACTTCTGTCGCGCGGCAGCCAATCAATATGCTGCTTTCCGTAATAACCTTCTAGCTCTTACGGAAAAACAACATATTGATTAGCTGTCGCACAAACTTCTGTCGCGCGGCAAGCATTACCGCGTCCTGTGTGTAGGAGCCATAAGAATCGGGCATCTCTAGTTTACATCGTGCACTTAATACGCATACTAAATAGTAACTTTCTATTAGATAATCTTAATATCGATAATGTATATCAACGATGACGTATTCAATCAATACAATATGTTTTGCTGATGAGTATTATACCAGCTTAATATACCGTTGTTTATATATATCATCGATATCAAGATTATCTAATAGAAAGTTACTATTTAGTACGCGTATCAAGTGCACGATGTAAACCAAGCCATTAGAGCACAGATGTCTATACTAAACTAGATTGCTAATGGGCTCCTGCACATAGGACGCGGTAATGCTTGCCGCGCGGCGGAAGTTCGCGCGACAGCCAATCAATATGCTGCTTTCCGTAATAACTTTCTAGCTCTTACGGAAAAACAACATATTGATTAGCTGTCGCACAAACTTCTGTCGCGCGGCAGCCAATCAATATGCTGCTTTCCGTAATAACTTTCTAGCTCTTACGGAAAAACAACATATTGATTGGCTGTCGCGCGAACTTCCGCGGCAAGCATTACCGCGTGTGCAGGAGCCTTAACATGTTATCATTGGGATAGCATGGCTTGCGTCCCAGAGTTTCCAGTGTATGCAAGAAAATGGCCGCTGCCGCTACATCACTGAAATATATACTACCTAAAACGCACGCTATCTCTTGGGATGCGTTCCAAAATTCAACTTTGGTTACCATAGTTCTATAATTTGTTATAATTTGTATTATAGAAAATAGTAACCAAGGTTGAATTTTGGAACATACCCTTGAGTGTTACAGGATGAGAGAAAGCATGCTTGTAGATAGAGATGCGACATCGATAAGAAATAATCGATTATGATTTTAATAACTTAATTAAAACCATCGGTAGCCCGATATATCGAGCAAAATAATGGATTCTAGTAAGAATCGGATACACTGCATTTCACTAAGCATATGCGTGCTTATATATTTATAGTTTACGTGATATATATTATAGATGAATAAACGCATATAGTTTGTATCGGGCATCAGGTCGTTCCTCCCTGATAAAGCGAACTGAAATGTTCCCAAAACGTCGGAATCAAATAAAGATGAACCCACGAGGCTCAAATCCGGAAACCAAATCTAATAAAACGCATATATCGTTTGCGGAACAAACTTTTCCGATCTCACTAGATCTAACTAAAAGTCAACGCACAAGCACATCCGTAACATGTTACGTTAAGTACTGACAATACAATGACCATACCTGTACGTAAACTTAAACTTAAGTTAACGCACAAGGAAACCCGTAAACTTAACATGTTACGTATGTCTTGTGCGGAGGCTCTTATTTTTACCAGCATAAAAACAAGTTGGATCTAGTGAAATTCAGTGATATACTGGAAACGTACCAACCAGAATAAAGCTTTTCTAGTATATCACTGAATCTCATCAGATTCAACGTAAAAAAAAACGCCGTGTGCCGTCAGTTTAAGTGCTTACTTAGTTCTTTTGCTGTTGAATGCACAGCCACTAGATGCACCCAATTGCTGCTTTTGATGCAGTCAATTGGTCTGTTCTTTTTAGCTGCACTGCTGTGCAATAAATTAAAATGAGATAAATATATTTTTTCTCACTCATATAGCGTGTTCGATTGATCCTGGGTTAATCGCTCCGAGAGCGATTAATGACGTCATAAGTCTCTACT